TCAAAAAAAAAAAAAAAAAAAAAAATTCTGTGAAATTCAATGAAAATTTTTCTTGTCCGTCCAGTTCCTTCCCCTTTCTCTGAGTGGCAACCTCTAATTAGTAATTTCCTTATGTCTTTTTGTGTATGAATATATATTTTTATCTATCTCTACCATTTTATACAACATATGGCCCACTTTGCATACTTTTGCATCTTACTCTTTTTACTTAATACATCCTAGAACTCTGTATCATGTACAATGAGCTTGTTGTTTTACACTACAAAGTGTTCCATTATTTGGGTTTACCATAATTCATATAACCAGAATTTTATTGGACTTATATGTTGTTCCAGTATTTTGTTTTTACAGCCAGTGTTGCCCAGAATTACCTTGTATATATGTCAGGGGTCCCCAACCCCTGGGCTGTGGAATAGTACCAGTCTGTGTCATGGTAGGAACTGGGCCGCACAGCATGAGGTGAGGGGTGAGCAAGCATTACCGCCTCAGCACCAGCTCCTTGTCAGATCAGTGGCAGCATTATATTCTCATAGGAGCACAAGCCCTATTGTGAACTGCGCACGTGAAGGATCTAGGCTGCGCGTTCCTTATGAGAATCTAATACCTGATGATCTGACATGGAGCAGTTTCATCCTGAAACCATTGCCACCCAGCCCCCAACCCCTGTCTGTGGAAAATTGTCTTCCACAAAACCAGTCCCTGGTGCCAAAATGGTTGGGGAACCCCCATACGTATTATTTCACACATGAGCAAGCATTTCTAGAAATGGGAGTGCTACGTCAAAGGGCGATAGGTGTGGCCACATTATCCTATATAGATGTTTAACCAGTTTATATTCCCATAGAAATATATGAGAGTGACTCTTTCTCCTAGCTTCACCAACAATATGTTATTAAACTTTTGATTTTGTGTATTTCATATGTAGCATCTTTTTGTTTGAGAGCTATTTGTATTTTCTATTAACTGTCTTTGCATATCCTTTGCTCATTTTCTGCTGTGTCATTGGTCTTATCGCTGTATAGGAGTTCATCCGTAGGGCAGATAGCCTTCTGTGACATGAGATGTAAATACTCTCTCTCAAATTTTTTTTTTTTTTTTTTTTTCCCCCGAGATGGAGTTTTGCTCTATCACTCAGGCTGGAGTGCAGTGGCGCAATCTCAGCTCACTGCAACCTTTGCCTCTCAGGTTCCAGCAATTCTCCTGCCTCAGCCTTCCAAGTAGTTG